GGCATCATGTTGCATACCGACGTACAGTGGGTGTAGAATGTATTCGTACACCGATCAATTTCCCAAAATATTTTTCTGTGAAATTGTAGTTTCTTAACTTCTTTTTTTATAATCAACGATATTTTACGTATTCTCGGAAGTCTCTAAGATAGATATAGTCCAAACAACATTTACTAGTTAATATAATTTGTGAAATTAACAAAAAAATACGGAAACTGGGTAAAAGTATAGAAGCAATTAGTATTTGTACGATTCTTATGACGAACCATTTACAGCAGAGTTTGTAACGTAAACACATTAGTTTATTGTTCCGTGTGCATTAGAAAACATCAAATTTTCAGGAAAGTACTTTTAAACAGTTGTGCGAATACTTATTGCTTCAACATTTCTATCGATTAATTGTTTTTTTCTTGTTAATTTCGTAACTTACATAAATAGCTATTTTTTTTTTGTAATCTATCTATTCTAGAGATTTCCTAGAACATGTAGAATGTCATTGTTTATAAAAAATAAGTTAATAAATTACAATTTTACACAGTTTTTTTGGAAATTGATCGGTGTACGAATACTTTCTACACCCACTGTATGTCATGACATCAAAATATTTATTAATCATATTGCGATCTCAAAGTCGTGATCCATACACGAAAATTTATTTATACCTGACAATAGAAATATATGTTCACGACAGAAGCAAAGCAGTATTATTTCCATTTACAAATACAAATAATCACTTTTTTATAATGTGTCAACTTTCTCTTGTTTTTCGTTAAAATATTCAGAACTTAATGTCAATATTGATGTCTCAAAATATTTTTAAAAATTTCCCCATAATAAAGCATCCGACCTCTTACACCCTACCCCCCTACCCTCCCTCTAGTTGCGCTCCTGGTTTACGATGACACATAATGTGTCACCTTAGAGAAACATCCGGAGGAAAGCAACTAACCGCTTACCCAAGGTCAGTTGTACACCGATTCAATAAAGGGCATAAAAACCTTTTGCACCCCCTCTTTGCGAATCTTTTGTTACCGAACTTCGATCGTGCAACCCTCACTACGTTACCTTTGTAGAAATAGTGTAATCCTTTGTTATATCCTAATTAATATGTTATAGTTAGTTAAACGGGACGAGTGTTTCTCTGCGTACCTCGATTAGCTACGTAACAACGTCCAACGTGTCTATCTCAGTACGTATACCGGTTTTTCGACTGCCCTGACCAGCGTAGCGCTGCAACTTTGCGCTATTCAAAAGGAGAAGAGCACAGAGCGCACACATCTCGTCTGCATTACAAGACTCGAATAATCGATGGACGATTTGTCCTACAACGACGTTCGAACAACGGCAATTTCTTTGAAAGACTAGGACAAAGAAGTGCATTCTGAGAACGGCTCGAAAGAAACGGAGGGCTGTAGGATGGTCGTTCGTTTCGAGGAAATAACAAAAACGGAATGGCGGCGCGTGGAAATGTACGGAGCAAGCCGTAGTGTGTAACGCGGAGGAGGTCTTGTTTCTCCATACTTCTCGTGTCGCTGGGGGTTTCAAGGTCGGTTACTTTGGTAGTACGAACGATATAGTTGCGACAAAGTTACCCGATGGCGCCAGTATACGGACACATGGTAACTCGTGCTCGCTGGAAGCTAACTTTCGATGTCGCGAGATGTCGCCACATTACCAAGTTAAGTTTAGTTTAGTTTGTTTATTTAAGTGCATAGTTTCACACTATTTTGCACTATCCTTATACGTTCGGTAAGGAAAACCACATTACCAATACAAAATTGAAGAAATAAGGGGGAGATAGATCCGCAGAATCTAAACATCTGTATTTTTGCAACAAACTAACTAACTAACAACATGGAAGAAATTTTGCAAGACCCAACATGTACTTGCAGACATGACGATCAAACAATAGATTATATCCTCTGTAACTCTTCATTACTATTCTTCCACAGAAAGAAAATATTCGAAGATCTAACAAGATACGGATGTCATCCACCATACAACATTCAAAACATTTGAAGAAGATCAAATATCAAAAATCTCCACATAATAGACAGTTTTCTAGTCAATAACAATATAAAAACCTAAATGTAACCAAGCACAAAGTAGACATAAGATTATCTTAACTTACACATAATGTAGAGATATAGTTCTTAATATACTTAGATGTAAATTTCTATTTACAAATGTACTTTTTATAATTCTCAATAAAAAGACTATAGGCCTGTGTTTCAACAAGAAAAAAAGAAAGGAATTTTGCTACAGTATTCAATGCATTATGCTGTAAGCTATAGCAACTGTAATGTCCAATCAAGTCTTGTACTCAAGGACAACATGAATATCATGATTGTATTCTGTAACATTCTGGAACATAATATAATGGTTATATCACAGTTTATATGGATGGTTCAAAAACAGATAGGAATAACTGTGAAGCACGCTGGTACTGTCCAGAACTTGGTAAAGCAAGAAGTATCAAGTATCAATATTAATAAACCTTCATCTCTGTTTACAGAGAAATGTGTTACCCTTATCAAGGTCTTAGAGCCGAAACCTAATCTTAGAGGATTCAAACTAATTAGTGGATTCTTGGAGGATTGTAACATATTCAAATGACAGGTGTAAACTGATTTGTTTTTGTGATATGTGTGTCCTATCTAATACTAAGATCTAGATATCTGAATTAAGTTATACGTATGTACTAGTTATAATTTTTGACTATTAATTAATATTTTCCGTGATAAATTACGATACAAGACTTAGCAATCTATAGTGCAATTTATGCTATAGCTTAAAGGAACTCCTTTTACTGTTATATATTATAATAATGTCTATCTTGTAAGTGAATCCATGAGTTTGAACTGCAATACTTTGATCTTTAAATTTTGTTCAATAAATACAAATTGTTTCAGTAATTTCCAAGAAATCAAATTAAAACTTCCATCTAGTATTTCTTACATCTTGTATGTATCTTAGAGAAACTTATCTTAGAAAAACTTCCTCACGGCATGAAACCCTTGAATCGTTACGTTATTTATCCACGTCATTGCGAACCGTGTCATTAAGATTATCAAAGTACTTTTGTGCACATCGGTAATTTCTAACGAAATTTTTGAAGCTTAATTTCATTTAAGTTTTGTAGTTTTTATTCTCTACAACCAAGGCTTACGATCGTAGCCGACAATTATCGATCGATTAAATTTACCAGTGTATATTTAAATTTCACATTGGACAACCAAAGTTTACGGAGCTCTTCAAGCCTGCCAAGCCATTTTAAGATAGCAACAGAAGAAATGTTTTATACAAGAAGCTAACGGGCCATAACTTATTAGCGATAAGAGAAAAACAATTAGAGCATATATCTACATAAAGAAACACCATAAGAAAGAAACTGATTTGTTGCATCAAAACGGTGCAAAGTAACGCAAATTGCAGCAGTTTCTTTCTTACGATTTTACGGGAAAACATCGAACAAGTTATTAGAAACCATAGAAATACTGAAATAGATCAACTACTTAAGGCGTACAATAGCCAGAATTAATTGGTGGCGCTCAAGTGCCACGAAAGGTCACGCAAGAAACAAGTCGGAGAAATTCTTTTAGGTTACAGGTTACAGGTGGTTATCCGAAAGGGTCGACACGCCCACCCGAAAACTCGATGTGGATGGTTTTTTAAATGACGACGCGATATGCGATCAGCAATTCGATTTCTACGATAGAAGCGACGTCATCGACTTTGGCTTCAGTTTAATTATCTTAAAACTAACGTGTCCCAGAAACGAAGAAAGACAAAGTTTCAATTTACGATGGTATACTCGACATCCTTGGACGGGACATCTCAAGCCTCTATTGCAAGAATTTTATTTTGTTCTCTTAACAAGAAATAGTTTCTTGATTATTTCACAAATTAGTCGTTAATTCGATGATGTACTAAACAATAATGGATTGATTTCGCAGAGCTGTTAAAGGCTTTATAGAACATCATGCGCGCATTCTATAACGTTTCGTTAATGGTTTTTACAGATATCGTTTTCATTAGATTCTTTATGAGTTATTTAATGCAATAGAGGATTAACGTATCGAATCGGCGAAAGAAGTTATCGGTCGCCATTTTTAAAACCCCTTCGCGGCAATGCTTGGTTCGTGAACGTGTTTGCGTCGCAAAATGCCGTTTCGTGGTCCGCATTTATTTCATGATATAAATAAACATTGTGGTAGTTACTAAATTATTCATATTCGTTGAATCTACCTTTGCTTTGATATCATTCTTATGCCTATATTGTATTTTCATTTTTGATACGGTGAATTGAGTAGATAGTAGGTACAATCACTTCTGCCAAACGTCTTTTTTATATTCGTCTCATAATGTATATACTGTACAACTTTTTGTGTGATTAGAAGTTAGTACATTGTAAGCGCATAAAGCAACAGGTCGTACTTTCTTTCTAAGGATCAAGCATTTCTATATACCTTTCTTTTTTCCATTCCACACTCTACATCTTGATTATCAATATTATTATTGTTTACACGTTGTACAACGCAATATACAATGATGTAACTCTTCCGGTTCTTTTTTCAGAAGTAGTTTCTTCAGAGTAGCCTAAACAAAAAGTTCAACTTCGGTCTATCGGGATCAGTTCAGCGTTTAACGTCTTGAACTTCGTCTATGCAATTTCGTAATGTTATTCAACGTATGTCATTAAAATACACAAATTTTTGTCCAATCTATATCCGTGGATCTTTACACCGTGCGATCTTTACCTCTACCCACTTCACAATTGTTAAACAAATTGAAAACAAAATTAATATATAAACTTCGTGGACAGTAACGTGCCAGATACAGAAAGATGACCAGGAAACGTCGTTCGCAAGGCAAACAGAGCTCGTTTGAAACCGGAGCTGGCCTGGCGAAGCACATCGCGTCTTCCAGAGGCCGCGATCGCGATCGCGTTCGCTGTTGCGACCGCGGGCCCTCGTAATAGCGCAAATTCCAGCGCTTACCTTTCTTGATGAGCAAGCTAGTGACCCTCCGTAGCGCCTCGCGAGTGCTGGAGGCGGAGCTGTGCTTACTTTGGCCGAAGTATTTGTTCGGTGTGATGTTCGTGGGCAAAGTCAGCGGTTTTCTCTGGTCCCCGGTGCCCACTAACCGTGCGTCGTACGCGTTGTTCAATCGTTCGAGATGTTCGATCGACGCTGGCCGTGGTTGATTCGCTTTCCTCGTCGGGTACCATCCGCGATTAGGGCCGCCCGCCAGTCGCAGCAGCTCCGTGCCAATTATCGCCTGCTCCAGACCAGGATTGTTTCTTCGGTACCTGTTCGCATGAAATATTACAGAGCATTACTTATTTATTTCTATATACTATCAAATATTTATGTACTGAAGCTAGAAGCTAGGGGAAGTTATTAGAAATTTGAATCGCTGGAAGCTTGAAGTTAGAGACTATTCATTAATTATGTAAGGACGATTTTGTTCAATTTAACCCTTCTCCTTCACCCCTATATAAAGACGCATAAAATATCTCGGACCCGCCCTCTGCCTTCTTACATAAAATTTTATCTAAATTTTCCTTAAAAAACGTTAAAGAATTAAATGTCGTTCGAAAAGGTACAGTTACACTAAAACACGTTATTATTTGATATAAATTATTAGGCGAATTTCTATTTGTAGTGAGATATTATTGCTGGAGACTAGAGCTGGACTTAGAGTTAGACCTCTGACTAGTTGCGTTGAGGAAATGATGACTTTGTTCAGTGATCCGCGGACATAAGTATTGGGTTGATGTATAATTATCCGTCGTTTTTCTTTTCTCTGTTATTTCAAATTAGCGTTAATTTTTCTTTTTTTAAGTTTTCATGGGTTCCGTATGATTCCTGCGTCTATTTACAGCTTGTTGCAGTCTGCATTATCAGAGTTAGGTAGCTTCGATACTAGGAACAATACCAGCGAAAGCCTTGAATCTAAATTCATAAACCTTCACGGAGAGGCTTGGTTAGATAAATCTATTTAACAAACTCAGGAAATCTTTGCACATTAATCGATGTATTTTAGCTTTTCTAAAACGGTGCTGTGACCATCATCAAGTGGTTCCGAACCGTTTTCAATTAGAAACTCCTTTATCCAAACAAGCTAAATCTATTCTCAAAACAGCCTCGTACAGGTTAATTAGAAAAAGTCCATTTTCTACTAGTTTCTACTCTGGATCCTTTTTTCCCAAGGCCTACATACCTACCTAAAATACTCACGCGCCTAAGCTACAAGGAAGGTGCCTGGATCTTGCGAGAACTCAAGAGGGCATCTCCCAGCTTTATATAAATACTATCCGAGGGAAGGAGTTAATCTCCCCCACAATCTATTCCAACAAGACCCCTAGTGCAGGGACCAGCCCGGTTTCTACTTTGCCAGAATAAATTTTGACAGAAATTCTTATCAGCGGGCAATACAATCAGTCGATCAAAGACGCAAAAAGAGAAATTCGACAAAATAAACAAAACAAAAAACCTAATTACCCTAACCAATACTGTGAGAAATCTTAATATTTATTCTCTTCTCACATCGCCATTTTGTTCAAAGGTCTTAACTTCATCATATCTTCTACTAAAATACCGACAGAAGAAATCATCATCTAAATAGAGACAGATACCTTCCACCTACCAGCTGATATCAATAGTAATATCAGAAGAAGATCTACATTAAAAGTATAACGGAGAACAATACTCACGAAAGTCTTGAATCTAAAGTGTTTTTAGTGTACTTTCATGTTCAGTTTTTCAACAAACATTGTCTTTGAAAAACGCCGGATAATTATGCATCAACCTAATAGCTACACAGAGGCTATGCCAAGGCTATATTAAAGCTGTAAAGCTTTAAAACTTTGCTCAGGGACATTAATCCTCGTTTGAATTATCCGTTTTTCTAATTATTGTCAGCCTCTCGAACACGACAGACAGTTTTGCAACTTTCGCCGAGATAGGATCCAAGACGAGTCTTCGATGATCTTACCCAGTGGTAGCCGTGGTTGGGGCGTACCAACCAGGTTGCCGACGCGTCTGCGTTGGGTTGCTGGCATGCTGAGGAGTCCTTGGAATGTCGCTTCCCCTGGCGAAGACTGGTGTTTCCGGAAGCGAGCAGGAGGTCTGCATCCCGGAGCCGGCGGACACGTTACCGGTAGTTCCGCTGCTACCGCTACAAGCACCGTTGCTGGTTCCATTTCCAGGAACGCTGCCGCTGCAGCCGCCGCCGTTTCCACCGGTGGGGCATGGTTCCGCCGATGGCGAGTGTCGTTTCGTGAACGGTCGACGTCGGGATGGTCCAGGCAGGTCCGTGGGAAGAGTCCGTCGTTCCACGGGTATTTGCTGCAAACGATCAAACGTATCAATATAACGGTAACAAGTCCGGTGATCGTTACTTTACTGTCGAGTTGTATTTGAGATATATGCGGTGGAATGAATGAGTTAAACATTTATTTGACTTGACTTTAAAAACTTTATTAGAAACACACGGAAGAGTATGTCTGTTCTGTTCGGAAAAAAGCTCGAATGAATAAAATTGAGGTCAATAACGAAGAATTTCGTTAGAAACCCAAGAAACCCAAACGTGCAAAGATGGTTTTTGCAAACGAAAACTCTTTCTCTTTTAAGAAGAGAAAATCCAACAAGTTGTTTAGCTTAGGAATTCTTTAGCTCCTTAGGGTTAGGCGAGTTAAGGGGGTTTCTGTCTTGTTGGGTAAAAAAAAAGCGAATTATGTTCTTGTTTTAATTTGATAAAAGTATGTATCATTAAAAAAGCACAGTTTAAATTGCATTACAAAATTTTTAAAATTAACCGAGGCATAAGAGGGAAATGGAACACAAGTAGACATCGTTTTATTTCGTGCAAATCAATGAATTGGTAGCTAGCACCGAGCACGTGTTTCTATTGGCAAAAACCATTTAAATTGCGTGTTGTTTAGCAAGTTGCGACCTCTCTTATGCTTAGCAGGACTAAATCAGTAGAATCGTATCGGACTTAGTGGAATGTTTTGCACTTATTTTGTACTAATTTGTACCACAAGCAGGACCAAACGTCAAAATTAATAAAAATAAAAAAATCAAAGCGGATAAATGTAGTGCTGAATTTGTACTAATTTCTACCACCAAAAGAATCCCTTTCCGCATCAATTAGTTTGACGAAATCGAGGATCAAACGGCATGAGCGGTAACTCGGTTACGTTTGTCCCGACCTTTTGTCCACAAGTCTGACTGGTGATGAACTACTTACAAAATTTTGATCACGAGTCAGACTCGTGAAAGGACGGCAAGGGGTTAACATTGAATTTTTGTCAACGCTAAATATTTTGGAAAATATGAGGTTAAAATTAGAATTGTATGATTTTTGCAGACAAGAAAAACGATACGCATATACGGTCAGGGAAGTTACTTTTTACTATTTCGAAATAATTTTATAGCTACTACTGGTTTATTATTAGATTATGGAAGTTATGAGTATAAAATTTGACCTAGAGGTTTGAATTTGGCCTAAGGATCAACTCTAAGGATTTAAAAGAGGCTAAAACCGTTAAAATAATAGATAAACATTGTGGATTTGTATAAGACAACGGATGGTTTATTTTACGATCCTGGAGTAAATAATTAACCGGGAGTTGCAAAATATCATTCAAAATATGCTACGATGTACACATAAAACTGTTGAGCTGTTCATCTCGAAAATATTTTTTTGAGTGGCCGTTGAAGAAGTGTTTAGAAATCTACATTTAATTTGCTGAACATGTTCCGAAAAACATCTCTCTGTAGCCGATACTATAATTATTACTGTATCTATTACTGTTTCTTTTTACAACAATGCACGAATTTCTTTTGGTAATAACAAAAGTTTAGTTTTTCAATTACAAAAAATTACAAAACTTCATATGCATTGTATATAAACGAAAAAAAAACGTGATACATTAAAACTCTTTGGGTTACATCTTTGAAAAGTTTTATTCTGCCGTCTTGGCACCAATAGTATAAACCAGGGCTTCTTAAACTCTTTTTTTATTTACAACCCTATTTATGATTGTGATTTTTTTCGCAACCCAAAAGATATAAAATAAAGATATGTCAATATTTTGTGATGATTTATTACTTATATAACAATATACATATGTAACAATATAGTTGTAAAATTTAATTAAAAACATACAAAAATATAAAATTAAAAATTCTACTGAAAGTTGTAAAATTGTATTTATTATAGCTACAAAAATTATATACCCTATTTTTCATCGAAACTGCATTTATTGCAATAACATAAATAAAAGGGAGTATTAAATATTTTACGTTACAATCTCGCGACCCCAAGATTTCGCTAAACGACCCCATTTGGGGTCCCGAATCATGTTTTAAGAAGCCCCGGTATAAACGAGAGAGATCCAACTTTAGATTGAACGCCTCGCAGTAGCAATTTACTGTCTTAAACACCTTAAATCATTCGTGAAACATCGTAGCTCTGGATTTTTCGTACGCGATAGTAGCGAAATTAAGAATAATGACGGTAACTTCAAGATTCCCTAATAGAATTCATCTTTCTTCCCGAGAGATTAATTATCGAGCTTCTCCAACGTTTAACGAACGCAAATTGGACGACAAGATAACAATGCGTTACGGTCCGTTTCTCTTTAGTTGAAAGTTCTCGAAACGTCTCTTCCTGGTTACCTTGAAACCATTAATTGGACCCTTACCCTTCGTTCGTTTTTATATCGTATACCAGCCAGTTTCCGATTAAATCGTATCGTTTTGTGCAATTCTGTTTATCTTTCATTTATTCATATCTTTAGATCTAGAACATGGTCTGAGTTTTTATAAAATACTTCGAACATTCCAAGCATTCACTCCGACGACAGAATAAAGTCAAATTTCAACTAACCGAATAAAAGTAAACTTCATCACAGGCCTGTTACATCATACAGGGTGCTTTCTACTTTTCCGGCAAGATTTTATTAAACCGGTTTTTAGTACGTGTCAAAACATAATAATATTTCTTTCTATACTTTCGCATTTATGAATTTTTTAAGAATAGTACCCATCTGGCGAGCGCTCAGGGTGGCCAGACGTCTTAACACTTTACCGAGCGATAGTCAAATAAATCATCTTTTTGCTATGGCAAGCAATACTTCTTATCTACTACTGAGATAGCATTGTATGCTCCCATCATCGTATGAACTATGAAATATTATACATATAAATATTAACCCTTTGCACTCGAGAGGTGACTCTCAGTCAGCATTAGGTTCCACGTAGCAAATCTACAATACTTAATGTTTCTTTAGGTTTAATTTCTTTGGAGCTCCAAGTGTCGATAAAACGATTGTCGGCGAGGTAAAGGTGACATTATTCTCAAATCTAGATAGCTTACAATTCATGGTAATAGAATGCTAAGAAACATCTCGAGTTGCTGGCAGATACCAGAAAAAAGGCCTCGAGTGCAAAGGGTTAATGTTATGAAAATAAAAATATTATTAAATTTAATTACGTGTCCAAACGTTATCGGCCGGTAAAGCGTTTAATTACAGGAATAGTAATTTCATAGCAAAGAAATAAAAACATACCTCTTGGATTATATAAACGTCATAAGCAAATCGGTATATGTCGGTTGTTTTCGTTATCTGTTATTCGAATAAAATATCGCCGACCTTTGGTATCGATCAATTACCACGACGCGAATACTCGAATACTCGAATAAACTTTCTGGCCAGTAATGACCGGTAAGCGCAAGAAAGACGAGTGGCAGGATGGTAGAGGGGCGAGAACAAGCTGGCCGACGTTTATCGAGCCAATACGGACCGTCTCGAGACGGTGCGCGGCGTCGATGAGCGGTCGGCCGACACTAACCCGTCAAACCGAATGGGTTTGAAGAATGCTTCGCAGACGTCTCGACGACTACCTTTAATTGCGTTCAGTCGATAGACCCGACCCGCCGAATTGAGTCGAGTTCAGTCGTTCGGTGCTTTTGCTAGAAAGCACAACTATTTAGGGGGAACCAAGAGGGAAGCGAATCTCGATAACTCATGGGGTGTTTTTGACAGGAGGTTCAAAACTTCACAGAGTTGCGATACAGTCATCTACTGGTAATTGATTCGAAATCTGATCCTTGGTGTATCTGTTATTAGACTAAGGTGAAATTCTCGTCTCAAGATTGAATCTACAGGGTGTCTCAAACAAAGAGATACAGAGCTCTAACTCCAAAACTATCGGCCCAATGCAAAATTTCAAATATGGAAATTGCATGGTAAAATGGGGCTCATGTTTCAGCGATAAGGAATTTTTGTTAGCTTTGTTTTTTAACGTGATATAATGGTCAAGTTTCGTTTTTCAAATGGAACCATATATTTTTTTCTATACCACGTGATAGTACTCTTCAAGACGAATTGATTAAGCTTTAATGTATTTACCCGATTTTTAGTAGTTTTCAAGCTATAACGCTTCAAAGTTTGCTAATTTTCAAGGAAAAAGTCGGTTCGGCCCCGGGCGGTCCCATTGGTGCAGTAAGCACCATGCGGTTCTTGAAATCGATGCAGTGGGTCTCGTTTGGGATTCTAGGCCCAAGGAAGGAAAATACTTATGGGAAATGCTAAATTATTAAAATGCTAAAAGAATCCCAATATTCTGAGCCTAGAATCTGAAAGAGCCTAGAAGAGAATATGAAACAAAGAATACGTGATGCTTGCGCTTCAGTGACTCCCCAAATGTTAACAAATGTTAGAAGAACTTTGATGTTTCTAGTTAATAAATGTTTACAAGCCCGCGGTTAACATTTTAAACATTCAAGCACATTTAAATTTTGAGTTTAGATTTGGAATCAGTGCCCTCCAAAAACCTCTGTATATCAAATTTCATCCGAATGCAGTCATTTTTCGTATTTTTTATTATAAGAACCACAATATGCACAAATTCATCAATCTTTATCAATCAATGAAACAGAACATGATGCTGATAATGACTCTACCATTCGGAATTCAGATTCCGATTAGAATTGTAAGAAGAATGTAATATTACTTTGATATTGAATATATTATATATTATTATATAATCCACTCAGAATAAAAAAAGTATGTTATTTTAAAGGATAAACTCACTACCTTCACACTCCTAAATTCAATTTCTTCAAAGATATTATATACACTAAATAGTAAGTGAAATTCTCTGTTTATATGTAATGCAAATCAGTGCAAGTAACTTGAAAAAATGTTAACTCAATAAAAGTGAGCATAGGAAACCGCTTGAGATGCGTGTTAATTTTTATTAGCTAGAATCGCTGTTTGGCCCAGTGTGCGCTGCACTTATCTCGAAATGGACTGCATTTCTCAATGATATAGTTG